AGGGCCCGGAAACAACGCTATCTTCTGAAACCAGCATCACGCGGGGGCTGCCTGCTGTCCCGAGACCCGAGCGATGGCCGTGCCTTCTGATTTCTCCTCAACCGGGAGAAGTGGCCTGTCTCGAAACCGGGGGATTGAGGACTGGTGGTCAACTTGGAACACCCAGCTGGACGGAGTTGGATGGTGCTGGGTGCGGAAGGCCCACCTGAAGACTGTCGCCAGCAGTGTGAAAGGAGAATGGGAGGGGAGATGGGGTGCTGTTAGTCTCCTAGAGAAGCTTGTCACGCTGGTTTTCCTGATAGGAACTCAGCTGTTATTATCAGCGGAGCTCGGGTCCTCGCTGTCGCTGAGGATGGCTGTGGTTCTCCTCTGGGTAATCTCGGTTCTCACCTTGAGCGTCACTTCCTGGCTCCAGGGCAGATCCCTCAGCCTGCTAGCACAGGTCCTTCATCCCGCTGGTGCAGACGTTCCAGCTTCCACCACTTTTGGGCCTTCCCAGTGCAGATCCTTGGTACCGATTTGCCTGAGACATTATCCTCGGCCCCAGGCTTTTAGCCTAGAGGACATTGCCATAGGCTCTAGGTCTTCAGCGGGACTCGTGCAGGACATTGCTGGGGGATGCAGGCCCTCAGCTGGATTCTTTGGATCGCTAATGTGTGGACAGATCGCCCATACTCTTTTGCGTTTGACTCTTGGGATGAATATTATAAAATAATCCCATAAATTATGTGTCCTGACTTTTATTTATTTATTTATTTATTTGGGTACCAGGACTCGAACTCATGACCTCAGGCTTGCCAGGCAAATGCTTATGCGCTGAGTCCTGTATTATATCTTTTCCCTTGCAAACCCTGACTACAACAGGATTGGTTTTTTTTCTTTCTCTCAAGCTTCTATGCTGCAGGCTCTGGTTTAACAGGGCTTCCTGTCCCCTGCTTTCTCTGCTTTGGGTGCTAAAGCCACAGAAGGATCATGTTGCTTCTAGGCTCCAAACCTTCCAGTGGCTGAAAGGCGACAAATCAAGTCTGGGGTTCAGCTCACCATTTGGCATCCCCAGCCCAAAGCCAAAATCATTTCCATGAGCTTTTCCCCGTTCACTCTGTTCTCCTTCCCTCCACTCTCCCCCTACTTCATATCATTCCAGCCACACTGTGGTCCCCAGCACACTGTGCCCCAGGGCCTTTGCACACACTCTTTCTGGGATCCTAAGCTCAGATCCTCCCCAGATGTCCCCATGACTCACAGTCTACTGAAGTTTTGGCCTGCTCTGTGATGACTTCCAGCACCAACTCACTGATTATTCCTATCTCCCTCTCCCTCACCTAAACCCAGCACAATCAAGTTTCTGCCCTTAATTTTTCCCTAGCCCTCAACAGTGCCCGGCATATTTTACTTGTTTATCTTGTTTGTTGCCATGACCCGGAATGCAGCTCAGGGAACACAGAGAAACAGAAATTCCACATCTTTGGTGGGGGGAGTTACGCACCGTGGTGACGAATCCGGTCCTCAGCCCAGCTTGGCTGCTTTTTATACGACCGCTTAGAGCGATCCCAGAGTCACTTGTGGTTTGAATTACTTTAAAATTCAGAATACTATTAATTTCCGGTGAGTAATTCCAAGAAACATGGTACTTGGGGGAGAGTCAAGATGTTTTCAGGACGGGACGCAGAGCTGAGAGGAGTCAGAAAGACCACACTGCTGAAGTCATTTTCCTGTTTAGTGGACCGCGGCCGCAGCGCCGGGGATATTTTGAGACTGACTGTGCCCTGATTCACTGGAAATGAGATTCCGCAGGATAATATGTTTCTTTAAAGTGTTTTGGAAGAAAGTCATTTCCATCCGAGCTCGTATTTAGCAGCGGGCGAGAAGGCAATTCCAAGTTTTGAGGTTGCTGCATGAGATCAAACAGTTTCTTCCAGGCCATTCAAGATCAAAAAGAGGCCCGGGGTGCGGCAGAGTGGCCGCCTGGCACAAGGGCAAGGAAAAAAGATTACAAGGAGAGGCGAAGAGAGTTAGAATGAGCACGCTTATTCAGCTCAAGCCGGCGCTCATCGGGTGCCTCCCACGGGTGTCCGGAGCCGCGGGCGACACTCCCCGTGTGTGCTGTGCCACCCGGTACCCTGTGATGTCCGAGTGGCACCTAGGGGGGCGGGTTCCGGCACCTGTCTCTGCTGGCGCCTGCGCATCAGCAGCCCCTCCCCACCCCCACCCCCAGAAGCGCGAGTCGGACCCCCAGACCTGAAACGCAGCTGCACGTACATCTGTTTCCGTGTGGCTCTCGTTCATGCCACACCCAATGACGTTCTCCCAAACCCCGAACCCACCCAGCAGCTCTGAACACCATCGCCCTCAGTCGGGCCTGGTGGCGCACACCTGGAATGCAGCGCTCTGGGAGGCTGAGGCAGGAGGATGGCCAGTTCGAGCTCAACCTATTTAGCGAGTTAGTGAGACCCGGTCTCAAAATGAAAAAATAAAAAGGGATGGGGATGGAGCTCAGTGTGAAGACCTTGCACTTGAGCCTCAGGACTGCTGAAGAAGAAAAACAAAACAAAACGGGAACCCTACCGTCACACCCACCTCCTGTCAGAATTGTGGCCCTTGAATTTAACTATGGTTCTCACAAGGTCTGGAGGGTACCGCGATCATGGTGAAAAAGTGCAGCTCCGGGGGCCTGCTGATTTATCTCGAATGCCTAAAACACCCCAGGCCAGGCCCCACCCTGCCCAAGCCCGTTTCCCCAGGTCTCCGACAGTAGTGGGAGTCTCAGAGTGTTCCAGAAATGGTTCCCCAACCACAGCTTTGGGTGGATAAATTTTTCAACACGTGGGGGGGGGGGTTGTTTTGTTTTGTTTGCAGTACTAGAGATTGAACCAAGGGCCTTTGCCCTATGCTCCATCCCTAGACCTTTTTATTTTTTATATTGAGACAGGTTCTCACTAAATTGCTAAATTGTCCAGGCTGGATTCAGACTTGAAATCCTCCTGCCTCAGCCTCCCAGAGCGGTGGGATTACAGAACATTTGGTATCTTTAACTACATTTATTTCGCTATGTGGAAAGCATCTAGCAGTGTTTAACACTGGTCATTTCTAAAAGAAAAGCAAAAGTCAATGTGCATAAAGCTGAATTGTTTAAAACATACACAACCTGGTCACTGTCGCAGCACAAGAATCTGAAATATCAGGTGAAAAAATAAGGTTAAGTGCTCATCACAGATAACCTTCACTCTTTGTAGCACATTTCAAAGGTGAATACTAACAAGCCGTGGGGGCTTTACACAGTGGACACTGCTCACAAGGCAAGGCGTGAGCTAAGGACGTGCCCCACCCTGAGCGAACCCCAGGGACATCCTGCCGAGTGGGCCGCGATTCATCGAAAAGACTAAATAGTGTGATTCCATTTATATGCCGCTCTAGAACACACCAGGCAAGTCTGTGGTGGAAAAAAATTAGGACAGCGGCTATCTTGAGCTGGGTCAGGGATTCACTGCGAAGGGGTGTGCGGGCGGGACAGCATGAAGGCACAGGGGCATGGTGTGTCTTGGGAGGGGTCTGCACGGCACACACGTACACATGTGTCAAAATTTGTCCTGCATAGCCGGGCATGGTGGTGCACTCCTGTAATCCCAGCACTCGAGAGGCTGAGGCAGGAGGATCACCACAAATTGAAGGCTAGCCTGGGCTACATATGAGTTCAAGGGCACTAAGCTGTCTATTAAGACCCTGTCTCAAAAAACTAAAACAAAACAAAAACTCAGAACTCATCCTGCATTTGGGTTGGAGGTAGCTCAGCGGCAGGGCACTTGCCTGGCACACTTGGGGTCCTGGGTTCCATCCCCAGCATTCTTAATAGTAATTATGAATAATGATTATTAACGGTAATAATAATAAAAGATAAACCAGAGACAGATGAGATTATGAACCACAGGAATAGACAGGTTGGGTGGAAAGAACGAGGGGAAGCAGGGGTGACAAATGCGCGACGACCTGCTTTCCAGTACTGTGACAAAATGATCAGTTGACAAGGGGGAAGGTTCACTTTGGTTCCTGGAATCACACGTCTTGGCCCGTGGTCACCCAGGCCTGGCCCTCTGGGCCTGCAGTGAGGCAGCACAACATGGCAGAGAGCACTGCCGAGAGGTTGCTCACCTTGTGAGGGCCCAGAAGTGAAAGAAGAGACCGGAAGGGGCTGACTCTCCAGAGAACCCTCAGGGGTGCCCTCCAATGACCTAGCTTCCTGCCACTTCCCGATAGCGCCGCAGGTGGACACTAAGCTTTCGACATGGCCTTCGGGCGACATTCAAGATCCAAACTGTAGCTGGACGTGATGGCGCACACCTGCAGTCCCAGCACTCAGGAGGCCGAACCAGGAGGATCTCGGTGAGTTCGAGGCTGCCCTGGCCTGCATAGTGAATTTGAGACCAGCCTGAATTACACAGCAAGACCCTGTCTCAAGAAATGGGGAGGGACAACAGTTCTCGGGGTGCATCTTTCTAGACAGCTGTGACTTGAGATATGTTTCACAGACCGCCCCTCCCCCGTCATGAAGCCGGTTAATACTAAAATCAACCCGGGAGAAAGAGCTATCTCCCGGCTTCCTATTATCTTTTATTTTGCTCTTTATTTATAATTTGGGTTTCTTATATAAGAGAAACCTTGAGCTATTTAAACGGAAGAAAACCAACAAGGAACCCAAACAGTGACAGATGAACCTTAGCGGTAGGGAAAGCAAGCAGCAGAAGCTCCCCAAAGAGGCTGGAGAAGGAAAGCACTAACTTCAGGGACTTTGGCCGGAGAACTTTAGCTGTTCTGTAACGCTGTAGAACGGGTATGTTAGACTCCCCTTGGTGAACCTGCCCCTCACAAGGACAGGCACGCTTGGTCCCCACTTGCAGCGGAAGTGGCAGGACCTGGTGCAGGAAGTTAGGGCACTGGAGGGCACCCCCTGCCGGTTATATGGAGAGCCCAGCCCCTTCCGGTCTCTCTTTTCACTTCCGGGTCATCACACGGTGCTGATGGGAAACTACTGCGTTGCTGGGTGGACACATAAGTAAATAACGGTGGGTCATGCTCTGCTTATTGCTGGAGGAAAGAGTTGCTACGTAGGACAGGCAAGGGTAAGATGGCCTCCTGTCCTGTTGGATTCGAAAGGATCATTATCGACGCAGGACTACACACACACACACACACACACACACACACACACACACAGATGGACAAATACAGGAGTAAATAGAGATGCATGCACAAGGGAGGATAGGTGTTAGCGAATTCACACGTGTTTATTTTTTCTTTTCTTTATTAGTCCATGTTTGCAGTACATAAAGTCTCGCTAGTGTGGAGTCCGTACACGTACGTAACGCATCTCATTTTCTTGTTTCATCTTCCCCACCACCCCTCTTTTGCCTCTTGATCCTCTCCCCTGTGAAAAAGAGCTATCTCCCGACTTCCTATTTTCTTTTATTTTGCTCTTTATTTATAATTTGGGTTTCTTATATAAGAGAAACCTTGAGCTATTTAAACTCATGTTCCTGATTTATTTCAGTTAGCATTATGGTCTTAAGTTGCATCCATTTTCCTATGAATGACTTGTTTATCCTTCTTTATGGCAGAGTAGTACTCCACTGTGTATAAACACATGTTCCTCTATCCATTCATCTATTGATGGACACATAGGCCACTTCCAAGACTTAGCTATTATGAGCTGCACTGCTATAAACATGGATGCACTCTTAGTTCTGTCATCTGAGAAGGCCTAAGTGCAATGACCCTCCCATAGCAGTAAGCACATCTGATGTCCAGACCTTGGTTTCTAAATCCCACTCTCCAAGAAATGAATTCAGGGCTTCTTAGAGAACATCAGGGAAATGCAAAATGAGCTAGTAAACATCCTGGGCCAGAAAATAAGGATGTGCTCAAAAAACAAAGGGACCAAAGGACCCAGGAACCCCCGGAAGAGGGGATTCCATTGGTGAAACTGAGATGTCAGCGGCAAAATAAATACGATAATGAGGCATTATAACCCAAAGAATGAAATAAGTACCCACAGATCCAGCTGGGTTTAAATAAATAATTGAATAAATAAATGAGAAGAAGGGACACTCCTGGTTTTAGGTTCATGAATACCAAAGATACTGATGGCACTCTTTTTTGGGGTGTTTTGTTTTGTTTTATAGTACTTGGGGTTTAAACCCAGGGCCGTTGCACTGAGCTGCATCCCTGGCCCATTTTTAAAATTTTTTATTTTGAGACAGGGTCTCAGTAAATTGTTAACTAGCCCAGGCAGAGCTAGAAGTTGCAGTCCTCCTGCCTCAGCCTCCCAGAGTGCTGGCTTTACAGGCATGGGCCACCACACCCAGCTGTAAGATGGCCCTAGTAAATAGTCCATGCTACATCCCATCAAGGCCTGTCCCTCTGAGTACAGGGTACCCTTATCAAACTGCTGATTAAAGAGGGAGGAGGTGGAGGAGTTAGCCAAGCCAGGGGCTGGTGGAAGTTGGTACAGTTGCCTTATTTAATATTATTTAATTGCTAAATAAACTGATCTAATGAATCAGCCCCACAGTAAAATGATGTAACAAGCAATAAATCCATCCTGGTAAACTTTGGCGTTCTGTGTGAATGTGCACATTGTAACCCACATATTTATCATGGAGCGCGGGAAACCTGGGGCTGTAATGAAATATACACATGTCCCTGGGAGACCAGAATCCAAGGTTGGTGAAGGGAAAAACATGATCTTCATGCTCAAAAGATTCACAAGTCAGGAAATGTCCTATGAGATAATTCAGAAAGCTTCTGGTTCCCAGTATAGAACAGGAAACGCCAAAGGTCCACTTCGGCCCTGGGAGGACATACATTCAGGGAAAACGCCAGACCTCAGGCCTCCCGGGAACCCAGAAAGAAATCAGAGCTAGAAAGGCGAAGCTTCCTCGGCTGCTGCTAAACGTATCTGTTCTCCAAATGAACTATGAACAATTGGAAACTTTGTGATACAGCAATCAGTTTTGGAGGAAGAGAATTAAAAGCTACTTTCACAATGATGGAAGTTCTTCTTTTAACTGGTCGAATGTAAGACTTGTAGGTATCAGTCTAGAGCTACTGCCAGGCCATAAGTGTCAAGATAGAAATTTGTTTCATGATCAGACTTTCAAATACAATGTTGGTAAGAATTTCTCTAAGCCTTTCCAGGCATGCAAAAGGATCCTATGTATGAATTCTTTTGTATGTGAAAGGAATGCTTAAATTCCTAGCTGAACCTTAGGACTCTAATAATTTTAAATAATAACTTTTTTTTCAGGGCTGGGGATTGAACCCAGGGCCTTGCACATGCTAGGCAAGAACTCTACCAGCCCAATAGTAATTTTTTAAAAATAATATTAGCCAGGTACAGTAATCTCAGATACTCAGGAGGCTGAGACGGGAAGATTGCAAGGTCTACTGGGGCAACTTAGCAAGACCTTGTCTCAAAAAAAAAAAAGCTGGGGCTATAGCTCAGTGATAGATTGACGCTGGGTTAAAACCCAGTACCATTAAAAGAAAAAAAAAAAAGAAACAACTCATTGAGTATTTACAACCTGCCAGGATCCAACTCACTTACATCTAATTTCTTCCCAGAACGTTCATTACCAACAACCGAAGACAGAGCAACATTGCCCATTAGGCTACTGAGTATAGTATTTGAGCCTCCTCTGCAGATTTTTCTTTCCCTGCATACACTGAAGCTTTGCCAAGGATTGAAATGAAAATTATTCCAGCTGCATTTATCCCAAAATTGCCCAGTGCAGCCTCTGCCTCAGCTAGTGTGCCCCATTCATTTATAATTCAACATGGTGCCAGCGCACCATGCTTCCACTACGGACCATGAGGGCAGACATTGGATGGAGAAAGGTAATTTCATGACAGAGGTGAACTCATGCAGCCTGGACACGAACGTGAGCTGTTGCAAACATATGCAGACATACAGACCCGCTCAGAGACTCTGCAATACAGATCTGATGGGTTAAAGGAAAGAAAAGAAAATTTGAGAGCCCAGGACATCTAGCAGATATACCATACTTATGGAATAGGTAAGGCAAAGACAGAGGAGGACGTTAATCCCTTCAGATAATTTCTTGGAATGTCAAGTAACTCAAATTCTCTTTCTGAATTAGGTCATTAAATGAGCACACTTGGTTTGATAGCAATTTCTCACGTGTGTTTCTTATTAAAAAAAAATTAGCGTCTATTTTTAGAGATCTTGGGTCTCATTGGTATCCCTATGGCCGGACTAAATTGTTAGCGTGAAATGCACATTGACCTGCCGTTTGAAATGCGGATGTGTGCCGTTACCCGGTTTAGAAGAAAATTCTCGGATCTATCCTCCTGCCCACCCTCCGCTAACCACTGCTCCCAAGAGTAAAGCAAACTACTGTACTCCACGAATTCAGGAAATAGATTACTTAATGGAGTTCATGATGTCTGCTTCGACATTTGGAAACTGAAACTCCCTGATTTGTTTCCAACTCTAAGGTCGAAATCTGGACTTTGCCAGGCACAGTGAGACATAGGCAGGGTCTGCATCTATGTGAATAATTACACTCAGCAGCTACGCAGACGCGTCCTATCCTTGCTCCTGTTCTCAGCAGCAACTGTGTCCCTTATGAACCACCTCCCTGCCGCAACCTCCTTCCAAGAGCCTGCACGGAAGTGTTAAATGTATTCTCTTCCCTCTGAAGGTTTGATGATTGCCATCTATAAAATAAACTGACAATGGACAGACAATGGGGAAGGAACATAGCTCACGCCTGACAAGCACGGAGCTAGATAATGAGGAGGCTCAAAGGACAGAGCCAGCTGGAGCCTCCAGGAAGCTGAATGCAGGGAAGGGGCCGGGCTTTGGTGAAGAGGGGAGGTGGGAGACTGGGGGCCAGGGAAGGGGGTGCACGGGCAGCCAGAGCTGTCTTGTGACACAGCCAAAGTCACCCAGGTCAAGCCCACAGCACTTTCCAGAGCGGCTCCCGCATTTGCAGAGGTCTGCAGCTTCTCTGGACGTTGGACTCAGCAACGCCATAGAAATCCATCCAGGCTCGTTGCAGCCCAAGGGCAGAGCGCCTGTCCAGCCTGTGTCCAAGTCCTGATACCGTCCTGAGCGCCCGTCCAGCCCGTGTGGAGCCTTGGGTCCAAGTCCTGATACTGAAGCAAAGAGAGAACAGAAAAGGTAAAAGAAACACATGTGTAGTGGGAGACCTTACACTCCCCCAACACACCTGCACCCCGCTTTGTAGAACGGGCTTCAGACCTTAGCTTCCCTCCGTCCCGCCTACAGACAGCTGTGTGTTCACCGCCCTTCCCTCCTCCCCTTAGAGGATCACGTCTGGGGGTGCTTTTTGTTCTGCCAGCTCATTTCTTCCGCCACTCTCTCCTGCACTGACAGATGCGCACAAGTGTTTACCCAGAGGGAACGCTTGAGCTCCCCGGGCCCCCAAACCCCAAGCGCCTCCTGTGTCCCGAGCCAGTGTGGGCTCCCACCTCGCTGTCCTGGATGCCAGCCCACGTATCAGTCTCTCTCACCTGGGCCCCTACTGCATCACAAATTACTGTGCTGTGCCATCCGTGTACCCCAGTTTCCCAATTGTCCTTAGACCCAAATCCTGGTGGTTTAAAACCTCCAGCACGGACTCCCGCCGCTGCTCCTTTTTGCACTGTCCCCGTCCCCAAGCCTTGAGATTGCTTTTCCGGAGCCTGAATCTGCTGTCCACCCCATGCCCACTTCCACCCGTGTGTGTCCTTCAGATCTGAGCTCAAAGGTCACACCCTCGAGGATCCTCTTCTGACCCCCAGATTGGGGTGCTGGTCAGTCTGGGCTCCTTTTTTTTTTTTTTTTTT